GCTAACTGGTTTGCATGTATTATTTTACATAGTACTTAGGATTTCTGAAGCTTTGGCTTTTGTTTATTACTTCCAAATTCATATCTGCAAAAACTAAGAATTATAGTTGTCAATTTGCTTTAAGTAAAAAACCTGGAGAATGGCATTTTATGAGATTTGAATTCTGGTTTGCCTGGCTCCAATGTCCACATGATCTGGGCCATAGAATACAGCTGTGAGCCTTATTCCATGCTTGCCTAGCTTCTCTATCCTTTCAGCTGACTCCAAATGAGATTTCCTCCCCAATTCTTCACTAAGTGGCTCTAAGAACAGCCACTGGTGCATAATTTTGCTAAAGACAATGATATTTACCTATTTTCATCTTAGTTTCTCAGTAGCATTGAAGGAATGCCCACTTCCCTGTAATTAAGCACCTTATTTCCTGAGCTCCCATTTATCTAGTTTTCCTCAATGTTTGGCCTCTTTCCTCTACTATGGGTGTCCAACCTGCACCCTGCAGGCCCAGGATGTCTATGAATGTGATCCAATACAAAACTGTAAATTTACTTAAAAACCTTTTTTCTCATCAGTTTTCATTAGTGTTTGTGTATTTAATGTGTGTCCCAAGACAACTATTCTTTCAGTGTGGCCCAGAGATACCAAAATGTTGGATACTCTCTAGATCATCTCAACCAGCCTCTGCCTCTCTCTTTCTCCCTCTGTCTCTCTCTCACACATGCACACACTCATCACATACATGCATATATCCATGCTTACACATATATGTGCATATATTCCCAAAAGTCTCTGCAGATTAGGTGGAATGGCACTCCTAAACTTAAGGCATATACCAGATATCTGCTTAACACCTACCTATACTTGTTGCCTAGTTGAAATCTCAAACTTAATAAAATCTCAGATCCAACTCATGATCCACCCTTCTCATTTCACAGGCACCACTTCTCAAAATAAAACTACTTGTCTGCACTCATTCAGTTGCATCAGTCAAAAATTTGTATTCTTTCCTAAACTTTTTTTCTGACCTTCACATTGTCCTCTCTCTTCATCAGCAAGCCTTCTCTAGTCAGTCTGGACCCAGGTACTGTTATGATTATTGATTCAGCCTCCCTCATCCAAGGCACATCACCTCCCACAGGCTAACAATTCTCTCCTTTTCCCTTTATTTTCCTATGGTCCATTTTCCATCAAGCAGTTAGATTTTTTTTTAAAAAAAGGTAAAAATGATAGTGCCACTTTTCTATTTAAAACTTGCTTTAGTTTTTAATTTCTGTATGTTGACTGAATATCCCATACACAGAAATCTTAATAAAAGCATATTGAGTGAGTTCTGTTTCATGATAATGAATTCTTAGTGTCCCAAACACATCTAATCCCAAATGGGGTTAAGGCTCTCTGTGAGAAGAGGATAGTAATGTGAGATAAGAAATGTGGCTTCTGTGAGTGGGAGCTGATGAAGGTTAAGAGGAGGCTTTGGGTTTCATGTGGAGAGCTAAAACTGGATTACTCCAGAGCCTTGATTATGACTTTTGAGCAAGTCAATAAGCTTGCTCTTTTGCACATTTGAGCCAGACACGCAGGCCAATGTAATTTAGCTAAGCAATGAGAAAGCTCATAACAGCACTTACAGGCCTGCTGAAATCAATAAACCCAGGGAGTGAGCGTTCTGTGTTTCTCCAGCAACCCCACAGGCCATGTTGTGTGGGAGTGAACAGTCTAAGGAAGAAGAATGGGAGCTAAGGGAGTAATTGTTTGACTCCTTATTAACCCAAGGAAACACAGCAAGGCATATTTTTTCTTCCACACAAAATCATACAAAATTCTCTCTTTATTAAATATACATTATTTACAGTTTAAATCTTTCTTCTGCACAACAGTAACCATAGAAAACAAAGAAATCTAAGGCTAACTTTTATTTTTCCTCATACAGTGTATTAAGACATGTTACATGGTCTACAAAACTGGTGGAAAAAGGCAATATCACTTGGCATTCTGTTTTGAAAACAAAAATCAAGAGGTCAAAAGGAAAAGCTAGACTCAGGCAGATCTACAAAGAGAGATGGCTTGTTGTGTGCTTTGCTCTAATAAAGTGTCTGACATGTATACTTTTTTTTGGGGGGGGAGTTATTTTGCATTTTATAATTTAATTCTTAATATTAATCTTAATATTAATCTTCTTAATATTCCTTCTCATTCCTCCAAAAGAACTACTGGCCAGAGTGATGTGGATCTCCCATCTAAAATGGACACTGCTCTGCTCTCTCAAAGAGATCAGGAAAATATAGCCTATAGATTAAACCTGAACTAGTACCTACTTTTTATAAATGAAGTTTTACTGAAGCATAGCTATGCTCATTTGTCTACATATGGCCACCTTCCTGCTACAACAGCAGAGGTGAGCAACAGAGATTGTTCTACAAAGCCTAAAATACTGACTAACTGGCTTTCTACAGAAAAATTTGCTGGTTCCCTACCTATCATATCATGGAGGCAGAGCCTTGGTTCCCTTCAGCCAGCACCTGTTCTTGGTGACAACTAGGCACCCATTTTATCTCTTATAGTTGACTGATGAAAGTGATGGTCTAGGACAGCACAGAGAATATGATAGTGTCACAGGAGGCCATGACACTACCATATTCAGAAGGGAACGACTTTTGATGTTGGACCTCACTAAACACAAAGTCCTTCTCAAAATATAACTATAATGTTTTAAGCAAGGTTTGGTATTTTTGTGTGAGTATATAAGGCAAGATAAGGTTATACATGTTGACACTGTCATTCAAAGGGAAGAAATGATGTTAATATTTTATGTAAAGCCTTGGGGTGTGGTTAACCATAATGGAAAAGTATGACTAGGTAGATACCCATTAATATTGCCCCTTAAAGTTTCACTAAAAGAGTTCACAGGGAAATACAATGCTTATACAGAACCTTTAGTATGTGCTCTGAGACATTCTAGCATCTCAGAAATGGAAGAATATGATACTTATCAAAATAAGATCAGATTTAATCTCTAGAACAATTAGTTTCATATTTGGTCATGTTATAAGACTGTTCTCCTAATTTTATACTGCTTTTGAAAAAGTTTCCCTATGTCACCAGGGAGGATTGAGGAAAACAGTATTCCCAGATAATATTGGAATATGTGTCCCTGGAAGTAGTCACTTTCAGGAATGGAGAATGTCATGCATTTTTATCATGATAACATGCTTATAAATTTCAGAACCTCAGGGCTTCCATCAGTGGATTTTCCAACTCAGGATAGAAGGCTTTCTGAACATTTCTCTTCTTTAAAGTTGTATCTGGGTGCTCAGCCTGGACACATTAGACCATTATGGTGATAACTCTAAAGATCTTAGAGAAATCCTGATGAAAAAAACAATCTTAAAAAAAAAGATGTGTTTGGAATAGGGCTGGGAAGGTTCAAAAAGTGTCATGTGAAGCAGATTAAAAAATTCTTCATGTGAAGCTCATGATGTTGCCTCTTTCCCTAATGATTAAAACAATGATCAAAATGCACTGAAGAGACTCCTGAGTTAGGAGCCAGGAGAGTGGGAAGAGTGGTTGTCATTGATCCATGGTGGAATCAGTGGCTCTCCTCACTTGAGATAGCTACCAGTTTTTTCCACACATTCCTCCTCCACATGTTCCCAGCAGGTGTAGTAATAACACCAAAAAAGTTTTGACTTAATCCTTGCTCATGTCTACTTATCCACTTTGTAGACTATAAACACTACAAAAGACAGACAACTAGCTTAAAGTACAATATTTCACTAAAAATGTGCTTTTTTTGTTCTTTCTCAGAGTACCTTAGTGCAAAAAAGGAGAAAAATTACTTAAAACAGTAAACAAGTTAAATATTAAAACCTTATCTGATGGTTTCAAATAATGTCAACTTAATAGGAATGTCTCTCCCTACTAACCAGATATATTTATATATAGAATGACCCAAAGAAAGCTTGAACAGCAGCCCTATTTTTACAAAGTGTTTGTATATGGGTGTATTTGAACTTTTTATTCTTTCTAGAAGGTTCAATTATATGGAATTTCTGAAAGCACAATAAAAACTAAGGACAACCAAAATCTTCAAACTAGATGGCTTAACAAGTGTCTGTGAGGGTATGGGAGGAAAGGTTAAGAACAATCCAAGAACAACCCTGGCTGGTGTGACTCAGAGGATTGAGCACCGGCCTGTGAATCAGAGGGTCACCAGTTTGATTCCCAGTCAGGGCACATGCCTGGGTTGTGGGCCAGGTCCCCAGTTGGGGGACACACAAGGGGCAAACACACATTGATGTTTCTTTTCCTCTCTTTCTCCCTCCTTTTTTTCTGAAAATAAATAAATAAAATCTAAAAAAAAAACAAAAACAACAATAACAAAAAAACTCGAGAACAATGTATGGAAGCAATTCAGTTACACTTTGTGTCGTTTGGAGAAAATATTTTCAAATTGCATGAGAGACATGAAATAGCACCTATTATGCTTGAAGAATTCTGAAAGTGTTGAGTTTGCCTGCAACTTCTCCCATCAATCACCTTTGCATTTTTAGGAACAAGGGAGCCTCTTTATTTGTTGGGTCTATGTGTGACCTCTAGGACAACTGAAGAAAAAGTGCATCCAATCATTTAAGTTAAGGAAAAATAAGTAGCAGAGCTATACACAGTATCTCAAATTTCCTTGTATAGGCTAATATTTTAAGGTGGTTTTGTTGGATTGTAGCTATGGGAGAATTCAAAGGAAGCCAGTGTGTTCCTGAACAAATTGTCAAGCCTTTTTATAAGAAATTCATCCACCCACCCCTAGTTTTTATCCATGTGTCCTTTATACTTGTTCCTGTAAACCCTTCCCCTTTTTCCCTGAAATTCCCCTGAAATGGGAAGGAGGAGGGAAGGGCTGGGTGGGTGGGTTGGGATGGGAGTAAAAGATAGAAAATTGTACTGCAACAACAATTAAAATAAAATTTAAAAAAGAAATAAAAAATGAAATAATTCAAATGGCCTGATTCTTCTCTCCTTGAATATCTTGGTGAAGACTCTCTGTTTACAGCCTCTCAGTTCTGCCCCTATAATTTAATCAGTTTTGTGCAGAGAAGGGTATATGTACAACTTTCAAGATTGAAAACATTCAGCTAAAGCACACAGGTGAGACCTCAATAAGATGGACAACAACTTTTCTCAGTTATTTACCCAAAGTAATACTTCATCTAGTTTTCAAAGACCTTCCTAAGTAGAGTCAAATGGCTCATCAGGACAAAAGGCGGTGTTAAGAGGTGCTGGAGCACAATAAATACCCCTTAAGAATGTCTGAAAGAGCAATGGCATGTAATAGGTCATAACAGGATGTTGAAAAAGAACTGAGAAGGGGTAGCGGGAGTGGTGGTGGGGAAATGCAGACAACTGTACTTGAACGACAACAAAAAAAGTTGACAAAAAAGCACTGAGAAAACAGGAGGAGGGGAGCAGAAGTGGAGATTTTTGTTTCCTACAGCAAAGAAGGTCCCTAAATTGTCGTTTAGGACTGATTGACCAGATGGGGGGTTTTCAGAATTTCCCAATCAGAAATGAACAAGAATAGAGGAAATGCAGCCTCCCAAATATATTTTAGAGACAGGGACATTTCTTCTTGCTGTCCCTAGAGATTAAACCTCTCTCTCTGCAGAAACATACCTGTACCAATATGTATTTGCTTTGAGGAGGAGAAAAAAGCACCTTATTTAAGGTGAAAGTAATAAACAAAAAAATTACAAATGTTTCCCAAAATTTATATTTTTAAGTGTCTAGCAAGGGCTTTATAAAGATAATTGTATAGGGCCTTTGCTCTATATTCTATAGTACTTTATGCACAACTTATTATAGCAAAAAATAAAAGCCTATTACAACCAAACATGCTAGACTTTGGGTTCCCCAAGGGCAAGAACAAGGTGTAATTTATATTTGAGCACCCATTTCTACCATATCCCCTGTGGTACAGGACAGTCAATAAATATTTCATGAATGTATAAAGAAAGAAGAGAATAATCTATTTATTTTGTTCTGGCCTTGCTCCTATTAACTTTTGATGGACATGAGTCTGACAAACAATGGGGTTGGGTTAGTACCATCTATGTTATTACTAAAGAGAACAAAATCTGTTTTAAAAGTCAGCCTCAGGATCCTTAAGATAAATCTCTCATATGCAGTTGAGAGTGAAGAGAAGAGGCTAAGTTATTCATAAAAATATATTTAGAGAAGTGATAAATCTCTAATTTTCCAGATGAATTCTCATAGAAACCATAGTAATCTAACTGATTGATAACATGAATGATGCAGTGGTTGTTTGATAAATGTATTTTATGGTAAATGGATGTACTATTGCTTGCATAAATAGATTTGTTTGGTGGAAGGATATCCATGAAATAGCTCCCTTAGAATGTAAAATTGAACAGGTATTTTTTTTTTATGAAGTGACCACATTTGATTAAATCTTTGTGTAAGCAGCAGTTAACAAAGACTAAGGGTTAATGTTGAGGATTATGGAAATCTAGTTGGCCAGAGCATGCATTCAGAAAACATGGTTATTGAAGCAGAAATGGTGGTCAAGGAGAGATTAGAAGGCTTTCAAAATCTTTTTTTAGAGAATAATGGTTCAAGGATTGAAACACTCACACAATTAAAAAATTGCACAAAACTACAAGGATTATGGTACCACTGAGAAGAAGACAGGCAAAGTTAGCACTTATTTCTAACTGAAGATTGTGTTCTCTTTGGAGGGAGCAACTCACTTGCTTTCATATACATCTAGTGAAAGAGTGTTTGCTGAGTTTTTGAAATAATCTAACCTTGCAAAAATAATTCTAATGTGCCCCTGAGACTCTCTTATAAGAGTGGCATGCAGATGGTACTTTCTTGTCATTTGTCTTTCAGTCTGTGATATATAGTGTGTAGTATATGTAGTCTACCTATGCAGGGAGGTATGCTGGTGGGTTCTCTAGTGCACATGTGGTAAGGATGGAACATCACAAATTCTTAACCTACAGAACTACCTATGAGCATATACATCAATGTAAATGAGAAAATAAATACTTTAAGTTGGTCTTTCTAGTCCTCCATTTTTTCTGTCAGCTCTGTATTAGTGAGATATAGTTCTTGCTTTTTTCCATTTTATTACTCACACCTATTTCCTTTCCATTTCATTACTAAAGAAGCATCATGTTAAACCCACTGCCCTACATAGAGTTTTTTTTTTATCTCAGGGCACAAAGGACTATCTAGCAAAGCAAATGGCTGATTTATACAGAGTTTTATAGAAATAGAAAATTCAAAAGTGAAAGTGGAAATAGGGGAGGAGCACCAATATTTATAGATCTTCCCTCCTATTAATATATCATTCATCTTATTAACACTAGAAGGAAACAAATGGTGCATTTGTTAGAATCATTACAATTAATTTACCAGCAAAGGGATATAATGGAAATGATAGAATGATTAAGTGAGAATTCATAAAAAATTTCAAGGAAAGCATGTATAATTAGAACATCTTAAAGCTGAGAAATATGATTAGAAACTAAATTATTATGCCATATTTTCTGAAAGCAGAGCCTGAAATGAACCTGAAGTCAGATGAAACTAATGCATTCCTCATGGGGAGCCTCCTCATGCAGGACAGCATTAAGTACTCAGATGCGACAGATATACTGGGGAAAAGATAGAGTGGTAACTGTCAGGGCTGGTGAACAGCAAAGCAGCTATGTGGTAATTGTTTCCCAAATCAAATCTGTCTCTCAAAGAGAATCAGCAAGTACTTTCCACTTCTGTAGATCACTATATTGGCATTCCCAGCATACTGACAGATTTATATTGTGTTTTGCCTTATCTTTTTCAAGAGTGCCCAGAGGCAAAGGATGAGGCATATTGCTATAGCAAAACCATTAGGATTCTCACCACCACCTGGTGGATGAGCTCAAGATGCCTTCCTGAAAGAATGATTGTGTTTCTTCTTCGATGCCTTGTTATCAGAGAGGTAAAGACTAGGAAGTCTGTCACCATGTCATCTGATAGTTAATGCTTATAAGAAGAAGTGTGTGTGTGTGCATGTGCACATGTGCACACAGATGCTTTTATATACATAAGATGTAACAGATTTGAAAATGTGATGTGCCATAGGGCCTACAAACTCCTCCAAAGTTAAGCAGTGAGGGTTCATTATAGCTAACAATGCCTTACCTGTCAGCACATCCTAAACCTCCTAGGAGATTGCTTGATGGACAGAGATGAATCATTGTATCTGCTCAGAAATATTAAACCTACATTCACTTTCTCCACCAGAACTTTAGTGAGTGAATGGAAGTGAAGAATTCTATTTCGTATTTATCTTCTTTCATTCAGTATATTTTTAAGCTGAATCAAGATGGCTTAAGCTCTTTCATGGAACCAGATACTATTTTAGATTGTTACTTGAATTTTTAATGCTTCAGATATATATCAATATATAATAATCCCAGGAATAACCTAGCTAACCTATGAAATCAGCAGAAGCATTTTTGAAGTTATAGAACATCTACTTCTTAGCAGCACTCTTTTTCCTCCTAGTTTTAAGCTACTACTTTCATGCTTCCTCAAAGTTAGGCTAAAGTATGTTGTCCTAAATTGCTGGCCCTTGAGAGTGTGGTAAGACAGGGGCATAGTAATAGCTCACTAAAAACAGGAAGACTATATCTGAAAATACACAGGGGATAAGAGTCAGAGTGAAAAATTTATGAGATTGGTCAATGCCATTCTTATGGTAAAGAAAATTAACACAAAACAAACCTCTCTTGTTCCTTTTAAAGTGGCACTGAAGTATACCAGGCCTATAGCATCTTCTTCCCTATCCTGAGTTCCCTGGTAGGAATGAACTTGAGATGGAGGAGGACATCAAAAAGGACTGATAATGCCAAGGTCACTGAATTATTGTTCAAAGTAAACCTGTGAAAGGCAGCAGAGCTGAAGAGTACATCTTAGAAAATGGAATACAGAACTGAATATGCACCTGTGCACATGTGTCTCTTCCTTGTCTAAAGAAGTAAAGTCAGTTTTTGGGTGATCATTATCAACAAAATAGGTTTGTCAAAGAGGAAGACAGTGGCCATAGCAGCCTGGCCTTCTAAACTGGGTCAAGAGGGTAAATGCTGTGGTCAGTGCTCCAAAAATAAATAGGGAACAAATGACAGAAAGAAAATGACTAGAATTAAGAAACAGGAGAAAGAGGAGAGAAAACCTTAACAACAAAAGAACATTAGTTGACCCTGCAGTTTTTCAAATGAAATATTCCCGCTTACACTCGCTCACTGTGTTTTGCAAGTCAATGTCATTTCTAAAGGAACTGTCCAAGTTTGCTGGGTATTCCTTCTCTTTTATCTGGTTATTACGATGTGACTGCTTATGCTGGTAAAGGAACCGGGTCATGATGCCGACGATGGAGAATATGATGAATATCACCACCGCAATTACTCCTGTTTAGAAAAGGGGCAAATGAGAGAAAGAAATTAGCACAGGTTGGCCACTGCAGAGTGATGATTCAGTCTAGAATAGGAAGCCACTTAGGAGGAAAAAACAAAACAGAAAAAAATAAAAACAAAACAAAACAAACAACAGAAATAAAGACCAGCTGAAACACCTTCAGTCTTCAATTACCAAAAACTTCCTTTTCCAGAAAAAAAGAGAAACCCAGTTTAAATCAAAAGTTTTTTTGATGGAATAAGAATGCCATTAAATAAATAAGTAATCAGACAAGCAAAAGATTCTTATTAAATTTCTCCAAAATCTGCTTGAAAGATTGTGCCAGAATCATTTGTAATTCACACTTTTTTTTTTGAATTTTGCAAACGGGCATTTTAGAACTACTTTAGCATCCTAGAAAATATTTAATTATCTCACATTGCAATAATTCTCTTATGATGTAAAGGTGTTTATGATATTTGTTTGCTTTGCTAAAATGTTTTATTAATAGTGAAATGCTTCCCAAACATTTAGGGCATTCTTACACTGTTAGACACAGGCTAGCTCAGAGGTGGTGTGTCTCTGTCCTCTAGAAATACAAATCCAGTTGAAATGAGTTTCTGCCCAACTGTGTCAGGCTCCCCTACTTTGATTTTATATGACTTTACTTAACCATCTTTGGCAAGTCAGCCTTGCTAACCCCTGAGGTCTTATTTCTACCTTTGCCAGGAAGGCTTTTGGGATATGAAGAGCAAAGTCAGCAAAGGACGTTCAGAATGTGGATATTGCCACTTTTAAAAGGGAGAATGCATCTACACAGTAATATAGGTTTCTTTACACTAAAATGCATGAAATCTATTTATTATATTCAAAGTTAAATTAATTGTTAATATTATATTAATATTATTATTACTAATGTTACAAGAATATTAGTATATATTCTATTATAGAATGGCTCTTGAGATATATGTTCATTTTACAAAGTTACTTTTGAACATCCTGCATTGTGATTTATATAAGCATGAACTTTAGAAAGTCACTCAGGAATGCACTGTAGCTTTAAGAGATGAAAGAACTGGTTTGTCCTCCTCTAGCATGTGGAGTATTCAGAGTTGGAGGCTATGCTAACTTCTGGGAATTTTCCCCTGGAATTGGGATGATCTTCCTGTTCTTAAGGATACTTACAAAAGTGTGTGCATGGGTGGGAAAAATAGCAGTCACAAAATACTTTTCTCCACTTGTCAAATGAGAAATTAATTATACAAAGAGAAACAGGCACCAAATTTGTTCCTACATTTATTGATGCCAAACTAAAATCAAGATGGAATCTTTTCCCTGAAGCAGAAAATCAGGTCAGGCATTTTAAGAACTTTCTTAAGGAAATGTCAGGTTTTCTTTCCTTACAATCTTATTGAGATGGTGCATTTCTGTGTTCCCACATCTATTTGTACTTTCCCCCATGAAAACACTACTCACTTATTCTACTGTCTAGTAGACCCCCACCAGACCATTGGTTCTTTGGAAGCAGTGCGCATATCTTTCATCTTCATATTTTGATACTGAGCACAAGCTCTGACCCAAAGTTGGAGTTTATTAAATAGAAGTTAAATAAATGAATACTGCTGACTTTCTAGGAACTCCATCTAACTGACAGAAGACAAAGATGGGGGTAACTGCTAGGACTGTGACCTTCAAATGGAAATGATTTAGTCTCTCATAACCATCTTACATTAAATGAGGTTTTGGAGGCAATCTGTGTTATAAGTCCTAGAGATGAAAATCAAGGCTGCCAGAGGTTCTAGCAAACTTGAAATCAAAGGTGTGGTGAGGCCAGTAGGCAGTGAGAAAATGACAGAGCAAAGGAGGCAGGGAGCTGAGCTCACCGCAGAGCAGATGAAATCTGCTTTAGTACCATAAGTGTTGGATTCAAAACTACAGTCTGGGGGCTTCATCTAGCTCATCCCCAACTCACCTAGCTCATCCCCTAGCTCAGCCCCATAAGTAAGTGGGGCTAGATCCAACCCCACTCACCTATGGAGAACCCCCATAAGGATGTAGCTTCGCTTATCTGTATGTCCCAGTGTGGTCCTTTCTTATATGTAGTTTTATTGGTTAACTTTACCTGTACTTTAGAAAAAATCATCAATTGGAAAAGATGAACTAAATGCACACTGCCAGTCTAAGTAAATTATCCAGCTGTTGATTCATTATTCAGCTGCCTGGTAGATTGAGGTGGGATGCATCCATGGAGCTGCTGGTGTTGGGGGGAAAGGTATTTTTGATCATACGGCATATATAACTATTCATGAAAAGGCTCATAGTCTTGCAGATAACTTGGGGTCCTGGGTGCTGGATGGCCATAATTAAGGAAGGATTCAGATAAACTTTTCCAGAGTACCAAATTATTTATGTCCCTTCTGCTTTCATCAACAAAGAATGACAAAGAATGATTTACCTCCAATGATGGCCGAGTCGCTTCGAACTGCATTTGTGAGTGGTTCTTTCTCATCTGTCTTCCCAAATGGATCTGAAAGAAGATACAGGAGACTTCACTCCTAACTCAAAGTCCTGGGAGGAGAGCTACCACAAGGAGTTGAGATGACACACCTGAGGATTAGACCAGGTGCTCTCAAAAGTTTCTGAGTTGGGATTTTGAAAAAAAAAAACAACCCTCAAACAAACATTCACAAAAAAAAAACATTTGAAGTATACTACTTATACCCCATGTTAATTTCTAAGTAAGGTCAGGGATTGAAACAGAGGATGGTGGTACCCTGCCCATGTCTGTTATAGCCTACAGCTTGCCCCTTGGCCTACCCTCTGTGCTTTGCTGGACAGTCCGTATGTATGACTAGGGCTTCTAACCTCAAGCACTCATGTTTCTCTGCTTCTGCTGCAAGAGGGCATTGAGTTCATTGACAAGAAAGGACAAAATTGCTGGAGAATTAACACTTCCAAAAATTCTTCCTAAAGAGAGAGGGATTTTACTTTATGTGAATTAGCACGCATGGAATAAGGAAAAATGTGTCACATTTAAAAGCACATGGGTATGGGTTTGAGTCATTACTCTGCCACTTGCTTTGATGACATTGAGCTACATACATTTTTAAGTGATCTGCAAATGCATTAATAGGTGGTAGTAATAGCCATAAATATGCATATAGTATACATGAAATTTTCAGGACATATAGCATCTACCATTATTATTGTTTCATCATTTAAGCCTTAGGACAAGACTACAGCACAGATATTATTTTTCCTGTTTCACATATAAGGATATTAGATTGAAGCCATTAAATAACCTATTTGAAGTTCTAGACTTCATTTATGGCAGATTCAGAATTAAATAAAGTCTAGTCCACTGTCATATTCAGGCTCATTCTATTGTACCTCAGCACTGCAAGAAAACACCAAGATTGAAGGTGAGCAGGCAGCAGAACTCAATTCCCTTTCTCTGCTCATAATTAATAATTTATTTGGCAATAAGTTAAGCCAAATCATGGGAACATATCAAGACAACCAGGATGACTGTGACAAAGAAAATATTGAAAAAAAGATAAAAACAATGATTTTCCACAGTGGTAAAAGAGAAGATATAGGGATGAAAGTGCTTTAGAACTTTCCTACTATTAAGAGAGGTGGATTTTAATCATATGACTTATATTATTCAAAAACAGCTTGCCTTTTTGAGCCCTAAACTCATCAATCCTTAAAGAAGTAGCAACTAAAACAGTAGTCACTATGCATAATTATATAGTAATATATGAAAATATGCATTTAGTTCTAAATTCATTATATTAAAAGTCAGACTGCATTATATATATATGTGTATTTATATGTATATAAATACATATATATAAAAAGCCAGACTGCATTAAATATATATATGTATATAAATACATTTATATATACATTTATATATATTTATATTTCTATATGTATTACACATATACACACATATATAATATATACATATACATATATTTATGAAAATAAACCATGAGAAATCAGGCATAATTCTTAACCACTTGTAGTCATACAAATTAAGGATTTGAGTAATAATAGTCTTTAACCTAGAAGCTTCTTGAAAACATAAAAAATAATGCTACTGAAGTAAATTCCACTGGTTATTCTCTTGTGTACCTGATGAAGAATACACTGTGGTCACTGCATTCACATCCGAATCCATCATAGAGCCACAGCTAGATTCCGTCAAGGTCCCTTGGATTATCACAGGTGCGATGGTCATATGGCGCAGAGCTGCCTTCAGTGGTGATATATGATTGTACTGAACTGCAGACAGGCATCCAACAAAACCTAGGGTGTTTGCTTTAACAACTTCAGAATCTATTCCAAGATTCTCTGCAACATGAAAGACAATCGCCATTTAAAAAAAAAACAACACTATGCTCCATATTCTCTTTTAAATAGTGTTTAAAGTTACAGAAGTTACCTTATTTTTGAATAAGGGTAATCATCCTCTATCTCTTTTCATCTCCTCTTCCCAAACTTTGCCTCTACTACAAGTTTAAATAGATTAACCACATATCATTAAAAACTACTAGGGTCACTTCGGCTTTGATATAATGTTTTAAACTTTAAAATTTATATTCACATATTTTATGAGATATAACAAAGACACTAGATATTTTTTAGACTCTAGATGTTTTATAGAATTTATATAATTATCTCCATCACTATTTATCACTGAATGCTAGTGATTAGTTCAAACACACTATAATGCTCATCACAAGATTTAACTCAAACATATGGAAGGAGATAAATAAAAAGAAGGGGGCAGAGGGATTATAAGGGAACTGTAGGGTAAATGAGTCAGTATGGCTCCCTCACCCAGATGTCTGGGGAGCTAAGATAAGCTGTGCTCTCACAGCCTTGAGACTGAGTCTAATAAATGGTTCCCATAGCCTTGAGGGGTCTCTCATGCACAGAGTCATCCTGTGTTATATACAATTTATTCTGGCACCCTGCTGGCTTTGTGTGCATTTAGTATATAAGGGGGTAGGGACATCCCACTTCCCACTGGGGACATGCAGCTTATGTCCCCATGTAGGCATATGTGGATCGCCTACCCTTCAATAAAGGCTTGTCAAGCATCCTCATGACTCAGTGACTTTTCTTCTGTCTGTCTGAATTCCAAAACCTGTTGGATCTTGAAAGGTTGCAACATAGGAACCCCAAAATCCAAGAACTTATTTATAAAAAATTGTATATTCATCCTTACATATTTAAACTTCAGGTACCTTCAAAGTACTACCCACTTGATGAAATACACCTATTGAGATATTTTTCCATTGTTGAAAACAGTTTCTGAACTTCTTTATTTTGATGCCTTTTAGTGCTGCTACCTTTTTTTTATTTCACTTCTTCCATATCAGCAAAACAATTCCCTTTGAGAATTTTTTCACCCAGGGAAACAAGGCAGGTGGAGCACAGGGGTCATGCTGTTTTTATTCAAAAAGTACTGAATGCTCAGCACAGTGTGGCCAGGTGTTCTCATAAATCAACCATCATGAAATGGTCAAACATGTTGAAAGAGTCTTGAAAAAAATTTCTCTGAAGCTAAATACAGCCTCTCAAAATACCAGCAGGTACACTGAAACAAATGCGTTCCCAAAATACTCACCTACCAAGGGAAGCCTGTACTATAAGGGGCCTCCCCTCCAGAAGATAATTCTATTTTGGGGGGTTCCCTTTATATATGGAACTGCAAAAGACACCAAATAGCAACAGCACACTTGAGAAAAAAGAAAGTAGGAGGGATCACACTACCCAATAGCAAACTATACTACAAGGGCATAGTAATTTAAACAGTGTGGTACTGGCATAAAGAACAGGCATATGGATCAATATAACAATATAGAGTTCCCTTTCACTTTTCAGGACTTTTATGATTACACTGGGACCATCCATATAACCTGAGATGATTGTCTCATTTTAAGGCTGGTTGCTTAGCAACATTAATTTTGTTTGCAAAATTAACTCCTCTTAGATGCTTAGCCTAACATATTCACAGGTTCTGGGAGTTAGGGCTTAATTTGGAGAAACATTCAACCAAAACTACTTATGCTTTTCTTATTTCTTATAAACTATTTCTTAGCTAATTTGTATATAAAGACATTAGTCTATTAGAATGTTTTTGAGAGATTTTTAAGAAGGCAGCATAAGGAATTAGAATTTCAAGCCATAAAGACTTTGGTTCAAATCTCAACTTTGTCAAATGATCTGAATATCTTTTAACTTTAATAAGTATCAGTGTCTCCATCTGTACATCTTTGATGATATTAGAATATAAATGGATGCACTTTTGATGGGGAATAAAATGATACTTTTAAAACAATGTATAGTAGGTATTCAACTGATGGTGAATAGTGAGTGTTTGCAGCTTTTAATTATTTTAGTAAACAATTTCTCCCTACCACGCCTTAGTTAACAAGATTATATAAATTGAAAATAAATTGTAACCATCCTAACTTTTTTCCCTCTATATCTCTGTAAGAATGAAAAAGAATATTATATGAGGCCTCATACTGACAGTATTTTCTCCTATCAGGATTCCATGTTCTCTTAATTTCTTTTCAGAAACTTCTCAAAGTTTTCATCCCTATTAAACATCCAAAATAAATACACTTCCTTAGAGATAATACTTTATTAAAAATAGTTCTTTCTCTAAGGAGAGAACGTCATATTCTGGCATTTCCCCTGACTTCTCCATGTACTTATTCTGTACTTGGATCTTGTATTCATGGGTGTCACTATAGTGATGACTTCCCAAAACTTTGGCAACAATATCTGCTCCTTTTTGACTGAGTTCTGGAAATAAGATCTAGCACTTTTAACTTATACCCTCAAGGAAGAGCTACAAAGGCATGTCACTTTCCACTGCATCCAAATTCTACAGTGCAAAAACTACATGCCAGTTTTTACTTCCTTTTCTTGTCCTTGGGCTCTTCCTCAAAATACTTCAGGTCTGTAACTCTACCCCTTGATAACTGTCAATCAGTAGCTAATGTGCATTGTGAATTATAGCTCATTGATTTCTGGTGTCACTCAGGAAATAGAAACCAGTCTTAAGGACTTTTGGGTTAGAAAGACTGTTGCATAATACTGTTGAGTAAGTCTCCTATGAGATAAAGACTTTAAGCTCACAGTAAGAAATAAACATATGTGATTCTTCCATTAGTAAGTAACAAATATGCACCATTACAGTCAATATTCACATCTGTTGAATTTTCTATATCATTACTTGAAAAGTTTTCACAGAACTTTATATTAGATTAAATATAAAATGCATTTATGAATTAATTTTATTCAGTTTTTAGGTTACAAATACATTAGGTTCATAAAGAACTAGGTGAGGGGACTATTGTATGCACTGAGTTTAAGAGTGAATATGGAAGACAAACGACAATGAATATGGTTACTCAGAAGTAATGGGATGAGGATGTAAACAAGGAACCACCACTGGAAAATACCACTATTCTATTTCTCATTCTTCCCAAGATTTTCTGCTAACATATAAAAATCCTAACCAATTAAGTGCAATTACTAGGTTTACTCCACATAATATGTACCGCCACTGTAAGAAACTATAAGTATCTTACAAAGAAAACCTACAGAACTTATTTGAAATTTATGGAATTTCTTTCTGTCAACACACTTTACAAATTAATAGACATTAGGTTTATAATATATGGCCTTTGTTATGTTTAGGTGTGTTCCTTCTATTCCCTCTTTGCTGAGAGTTTTCATTATGAATGGATGTTGGATTTTATCAAAAGCTTTTTCTCCATTTATTGATAAAATCATGTCATTTTTATCCTTTTCATTTTGTTTATGTGGTGAATCACATTTATTGATTTGAAAATATTGTACCATCCTAACATTCCCAAAATAAATCCCACTTGATCATGGTGTATGATCGTATTAATATATTGCTGTATTCAGTTTGCTAATGTTTTAGCATCTATATTCATCAGTGATATTGGACTATAGTTTTCTTTCTTTGTAATGTCTTTATCTGGTTTTGGAATTAGGATAATACTGGCCTCCTAAATGAGTTTGATAGCTTTCCCTCCTCTTGAATTTTATGAAATAGTTTTAGAAGGAGAGGTGTTAGTTCTTCCCAGAATGTTTAGTATTCATGTGTGAGCCATCAGGTCCAGGCCTTTTCTTTGAAAGGCCTAATCAGAAAACTCCCAATAGTGTTTCAATTTCATTAGGTGTAATCTGACTATTCAGATTCTCTGATTAGCCCTGATTTATTTTGGAAAATTGTATGTTTGTAGGAATTTATCCATTTGATCCAGGTTGTCCTATTTGTTGGTATATAATAGTTTATAATATGTTCTTACAATCTTTTGTATTTCTTTGGTGTCAGTTGTTATTTCTCCTCTTTCATTTCTAATTTTATTTATCTTGGTCTTTTCTTTTTTTTTACTTGATGAATCTGGTTAAAGTTTTATCAATGTTGTTTATATTTTCAAAGAACCAGTTCTTGGATTTATTGATTTTTGTATCATTATTTTAGGCCCCATTTCATTTATTCCTGCTCTGATCTTAATTATTTCCTTCCTTCTACTCACATTGGGCTTTGTTTGTTGTTGCTTTTCAAGTGCTTTTAAGTGTGGAGTTACATTGTTTATTTGAACTTTTTCTTGTTTTTTTGTTTGTATGTTTGTTTGAGATAGGCCTGGAATGCTATGAATTTCCCTCTTAGAATTGCTTTACCAATGTTCCACAGATTTTGGATTGTTGTGTCCTGCCAACATCGGACTCAATAGGCAAAATCTAAAAGCATTCCCCTTAATATGAGGAACAAGACAGGGCTGTCTGCTTTCACCTCTCTTATTCAACATATTGTTGGAAGTCCTAGCCATAGAAATCAGACAGAAGTAGAAATAAAAGTCATCAAAATTGGAAAGGAAGAAGTAAATCTATCTTTATTTGCAGATGACATGATACTGTACATAGAGAACCCCAAAGATTCCACCAAGAAACTACTAAAACTGATAAATTCACTTAAGTAGCAGGGTACAAAATTAATGTTTAGAAATCAGTTGCATTTTTATATGCCAATAACATACTAACAGAAAGAGAAATCAAGAAAACAATCCCACTCACAATTGATTCAAAAAGAATAAAATATCTAGAAATAAACCTATTTCAGGATGTAAAAGACCTACACTCAGAAAATTATAAGATGCTGAAGAAAGAAATTGAAAAAGACACAAATAAGTGGAAGAAAATACCATGCTCATGGATAGGAAGAATTAACATCATTAAAATGTCAATGCTACCCAAAGCAATCTATAGATTCAATGTAATTCTTATTAAGATTCCAA